GATAAAAGAAAAAAATAGATCGAAAAACTGGAAAATGAGTAAATACAAAAAAGGAAAAAGAGAGAGAAGAAAACAAAACAAAGAAACAACAACAAAAAAAAAAAAAACAAAAAAAGAAAAAAGAAATGCTCCCAGGGATGTCACTGTGTGTCAGGACAGAGTAAGGGAGTAGCTCCTAATCCACATGGTACTACCTGGCTAGAAGGAGCTTCCAAGCCAAGAAAAGAGAAAGAAAACAAACACACACATAAAAACAGAACAAATCAGAACAAACAAACAAAAAGAAGCCCCGAGGGTCCCACCAGCGTGGCAGCACAGGCCAGGAAGCAGTTTCACTGTTGAGCAGTGTTTTGCAGCCTTTCCGAAGAAGCAAAGAAGGCACATGGAGCCCGGTATTTGAGAGAAAGGAGGGGGAGGTGGCGAGAGGTAAGGAAGAAATCTAAAGAGGCAGAAAAAAGCAACACCATCAACCAACAAATGGCACTCAGGGAGCCAGCCAGTGTGGGTGTGTGGAATCCAGGTAACACCAGGGTGAAGCCGGTGCTTCCCAGCCAAGAGACTGCGGCCACAGGAAGCAGAGGAGGCTGAGTGGGGGTGAAGATGGGTGGGAGGTGGGAAAGCATATATCGCTGGTTACCAGTTGTTCTGTCTCCTGCTGGAAGCTCCGTGAAGCTGTTTTCTCGAACCTCCTGTTCACTGATCACCGATAGGAGTCCAAGTTGGTGGATCTGTGCTGTGGTAGCTGATAGGGGACCTATGCATGTATCTCACCTCACTCTCTGTTCTCAGCCAGTTTCTTATTCCATTTGGTGTTTGGCTGAGTTCTTTATCTCTTCATTTGATGCTTAGGGTTTCAGGATTGACTCGTGACTCTGTTTGACTTAGTTTTTCAGATCTTTGCTGTGGAGAGATGGCGTGGTGCTTCTGACTATAGCATCATGTGCCCAGAAGTCCAAGAAATTGAATTCTTCATGAAAAATTTTTTTTACAAAATAGTAAACTACAGGATCAGATGGCTTCATAGATGAATTCTATAAAACATTTAAGGGAAAAAGAATACAAATTTTGCAGATACACTTTCAAAATACAGAGGATCAGGGACCACTTTTCAATTCATTGTATGAGGCCATACTATCCCTGATAACAAAACCAGTTACAGATATTGCAAGAAAATGTAACTGAACACCAATATACCCCATGATCATAGATGCAAAAAATCTCAACAATACAGTATCAAATTGAATACTTCAAAATATATAAGAATAATATTATCATGAGAATAATATATTACAATGAAGTAGAGTTTATCCCAGGAAAGAAAGATTTCTTTTACGTTTAAAACCAACATATGGAATTCAACATTTTTAACTAAATTAAGAAAATCATTTAATCATATACCAGTAAATGCAGAAAAAACATTTAAAGTCATTGAACATCCATTAATGATAAAATTTCTCACCTAACTAGGAACAGAAGGAAAATTCTTCCAACTCGTAAACAGCATTTTAAAAAATTCTAATGCTAACATCATAGTTGTGTCTAAATATCAAATGATCAGGAATAGATCAAGAGTGTTTGTTCTCACCACTTCCCTTCAACACTGTACTGGAGATTATAAACAGTGTTAGAATATAAGAAAAGAGGCAAAAACATAAAAATGGTACAGATAGAAATAAAATTTTTATTTGCAACGATGAAATTGTTTCCAGAAACTTCTAAGATTTCTAAGGCAACACCTAAAATGAATAAGGGAATTTAGGATGGCTTCAGGATGCAAATCAATATGCAAAAGTCGAGTATATCTCTTTATACTTGTATCAAAAAATTAGAAAATGTAATTTTGAAATATAATATTTATAATGACAAAAATGTAAATTAGAAATAATTATTTTAGCACTGCACACCTAAACTAAAAACATTATTGAGAAAAATAAACTAGATATAAATAATTGGAGAGATACATGACGTTTATAGATTGGAAACTCAATATGGTTAAGATGTCAATTCTCCCTAAGTTATCTACAGATTTGATGCCATCCCTTGTATTAACTAGGCAGGTATTTTCTAGTAATTAATACCATTTTCTTTTCCTAAAATTTCTATAGAAATGCAAAGACCAGAATAGTTACCTCTCTTGAAACCAAAACACACTGCCAGGCTTCACAATTTACTACGAAGTTACAGTTATGAAGGCATTGTGATTTGGGCATAAAGATAGAAAAATAAATAAATGAGCTGAATAGAGAGTTAAAAAATAAACCATCACTACTATAGTCAATTGCTTTTTCTTTTCAAAGTCTTTTCAACACATGTTCTTAGGACAACTGGCTATCCATATAAAAAAAGAACATCAACCCCTACTTGACACTGTACTCAAAAAGTAATATAAGATAAACATGTACCTAAATGCCAATGCTAAAACTATAAAGCTTCTAGAAGAGAATGCAGAGGAATGTGTACACTTCACTGCATATAAGTACTATTGCTTCCTATAAAAAAAAAGTATAAACACGTTCAACTGTAGACAGTAGGTTTGCTTTAGGATTGGTGTGAAACTACTATCTATATGCTATACCTGTATAAGTTGTTAAAAGTGTTGAGGATAATGGCACAGGTTTGTCACAGCTGGAGAAGACATTTATAGACAAGAAAATTGGTAAGACTAGAATGAACTCTGCTGTGTAATTGGAATTTGAGGTGTCACTACGACTCAGGGTTTTCAAGATAGATAGAAGTAGAAAAACAGATAAATAGATAACAGATAATCAATATAGGCATATGTATAGATTAGTTGTGTGTAATAAAAGGACTGAAGCAATGGGAGTTCAACAATAATGAGCACAACTTAGGGCCCAGATGTTAATGTAAAGCCGCCAAGTTTCTGTGTGGTTTGTTATACAGTTAATGCACATGACATAATCGTTATTCCAAAAGTGTTTTGGTTAGCTTTTAAATTACTTTGCTGCTTGAAAAGCAACTGATAAAATAAATAGCTAATTTTTTTTTTCAAAGACACAAAGATATCACTTTTCCAAGTTAGGAAGAAATAGAATACATTTTTAAAACATTGTAAAGAAGACCTTACCTGTGCAAGTTAGCTTGGGATCCCACCTTCCATTTATGCAGGTTGATTGTTTGTGTTCTGATTTTCCTCTACATCTGTAACTGAAGTTGGCATTATGATTAAATTTAGTCTGATCTGATAGTCTTGAATTGGATCCATGTATCCTTGATAATTTACACTTCTGAAGTTGTTCTGTTGCTATAAAATAAACATATTCCCATGAAAAGACTAATTATAAAAACAACTAAACAACTACTATATAACTCTAGCTACAGAATCAAAGATGTAATGAAATCATGATTTATGCTAATAAATTCTATCTATCAATTTATTCCTGATCTTACGGCATGAGAGACGGGCTATTATGTATAAATATAACTTTTGCATCCATTCTTTGAAATATCAGAGTAAACATCTGTCATAAAAACATTTTACACTTTGGGGATTTGAAGAGTCTAAGAGGTTTACTTTCTTGGATGGTCTACATACTGAACACTCATCATGCAACTTAATGTGGCCCCGTAGCTGAAATGTGTACAAATGTGCACATACTTTTGTTCTCCTGATCTCAAGAGACACTACATTATTTTTAATCAATAACCTTTAAAGCATTAGAAATAAAAAACATTACCTATGGGAATAGGATAAAAGAAGCTGCTACTTTAAATATATGTTTTCAGAAAAGTAATGAAATATAATTAAAAATATATCTAAGATGTGTTGTACAGAATCTAAATATTTTAGCAGATCTCTTCAAGATCACCAAAAGAACAGATACAGGGCTTGAAATAAGAAATTGGGTACTAAAAATCCCAACTTGTTTTGTTATATAATCTTAAGGTCTTTGAGAAGCTGTTTTAGACACCCATTATGTTGGAAACCCTAAAAATAAATCGTTGTTGGCTCAAAATGAATAAATATATAGACCATGCAAGCTTGTTATATAGCTACATATTTCAATAGTTCTATGATTATGGGAGTCCTTTTTGAATCTGATAAAGTAGAAATGTAAGTCTTTGATAGTGTTTGTTGTTAATGATTAGAAAAGCAGAATTGAGGGAAGCTGAACAGAGTTAAGAAAAGTCAAGTAATTGGTCAAAGAAAATAATGGCTTTGTAATGCAACCTTGAAAGAAAGAAAGGAGGCTGATTCAAGCATTTGGCTGCTAACCCAAATTTGGCAGTTTGAATCCACCTGGGAAACCCTGTGGGGAGTTCTACTCTGTCCTATAAGGTCGAGTAAAATTTAGCTTCACGTTATAATAATAAACCATATTAATCACAGGGACATAAGAACCATAATATTCTGTTGCTAGTTTTTATTTTTCCCCAATAGACACATATTGAACTATAAACAACAAATGTTTAGATTCATTACAATTCAAGAACTGACATTTTCAGCAATATTTCTAAATACACTTTTTAAGGTAAACATATTAAACTTTATTAAATGTCAATTTGAGAAGTATTTTCTCACCAGTACACTGAGGAAGTTGGGTCCACATTCCTTTGACACATGTAACTGATCTGTATCCAATCATTGTAAAGGATTCTCTGCAACTGAACTCCACTGAATGTCCATGGTGATAGGGAGGGTCAGAGGACAAGCTATAGCCATGCTCCAGTATAGGTACATCCCCACATGTACTCTCTTCCTCTGTGTAAATTTCACAGAAATAAGTTTCCCTTTAAAACATAATTTGTCTTTATAGGAGTACAAATAAAATTGCTGATTCAAGTTTAAATATTAATATTTTTTGTACATTACCAACACATATAGGCAAAGTTGTCCAATCTCCATCAACACATTGAATTTTCTTAGATCCCTTCATTAGGAATCTGGGATTGCAATCATATTCCACCACTTCACTGTGGTCATATTTTTCTTTCTTTGACCCCTTAATGTCCCCGTTGAGGAGCTGAGGAGGTGGACCACAAGATTTTACTTGCCCTACAGTAGAATTAATGTTTAAATAATAGTTGAGTAGTTTCTTTTACAATAAAAAATTAAGCAAAATGGAAAGATATTTATTATTTTTTCATGACAGCATTCTTAAACAATGAAAAAAGAATGGTGTTTACCCCAGGTTCTTATTTCTCAATTTTATTACTTATCCTGAACTAAAAATCCCTGGTGGCACAGTAGTTAAGGGCTTGGCTCCTAACTGAATGAAAGATCAGAGGTTAGAGTCCACCAGCCATTCTGTGGGAGAAAGATGTGGCAATCTACTTCCGTAAAGATTACAGCTTTGGGAACCCTATGGGGCAGTTCTACTCTGTTCCATAAGGTTTCTTTCAGTCAGAATCATCTTGACAGTAACAGCGTTTTTTTTTCTTTTTTTTTAAATACTGAACTACTTCATTGTAGGTATTGTTAAGCCTTTAAAATATGTTCAATAATCTGAATATTTTAAAGATGTGTAGAGGTTAGCAAATATAGTAGTGTAAATTAAAGTAGTATTTATACTCCATGGAAACATTGTTTCAAAATTTTTTGAAAAAGTACCATCACTTGAGACAATCTGTTGATCAACATATTTTAACTTTGATTAAGCCACAAATGTGATTGAATTGACTTTGAGCTGTTTGAATATTGTTTAGACAAGCACATTGAAACTTGGATAAGGTCCATCTATATAAAATGTTCAGCATTAATGGTGGCATTATAGGTAATTGAAAAGAAACAAAAGAAGTATCTCCAGTCTCAGTTGCCGTATATATATATCTCTCTGAATACTCCCAATACACATTTCAAGAAACAATTGGAGAGATATCTATCTGAGTCGTCTACCACCAGACCCATATCTGTCCCAGCTATAATGTCTCTGGCTTAATGTGTTACATTATAGATAATCTGAAACGCCACAAAAAATGAAACAAAGAAGGTGTTGATATCTAAAAAATTAACTGTTGTTTCATCAATTGTAAAATAAATATTCACCTTTACATGTTGGGGGATTTGGGGACCACCCAAAGTGGTAGCACTGAATGGAATCCGGTCCAACTCTTTTAGATCTCTGTCTACAGGAGAAATGCAGTACATCTCCAATTTTATATTTGTCTTTCTTGGGCGAAGCGTTTAAGTTTGGTGGTATATCAGGAACACCGCATTCTCTTTCTAAAAAAAAACAAAAGTAAAATAGTTTAATGAAAACATGTAATTTTTCATTATCAAAATAGGCTTTATACGTGTCATGCAAAAATGAGGTGCTGGGTGCTGCGCACAAAGAGGGGCATCAGATAAACCCTCTTCTATGGAGAAAACTTTGTACGCGCTGTCAGTTTATGTGGGACTCTGTGAGACATACTAAGGTACTGAATAGCAATGTGTATATTCTGAAAATGTATTTGTAAAGTAAACTTGTTTAGTTTGGATCTCATTTTATCACTGCTATGTATAAAATTTTTAAGGTTAATTTTTTCACTCTAAAAACAAAATTATTCTCTCACATAAAAAGGAATGTTATAGTTTTTATATTGCACACTCAATAAAAATTGATATTTATTTAATTAGCCAATTGATGTCAAGGCAATTCTGATTCACAGCAACCCTGTAAGACAGAGTAAAACTACCCCAACCATTTTCCAAGGCTGTAATCTTTACAGACACAGACTGCTACATCTTTTTTTCTGCAAAATGGCTAATGAGTTCGAACTGCTGACTTTCAGTTAGTAGCCAAGTACTTAACCACTGCACCATCAAGGCTCCTTTTAATATAATTGGGGAACCAGAATTCAGGAAAGATGCAATATCTAATGTATTTTAAGCTAGAGATCATTAAAAATCAATTAAATTTTCTACAAAGGAAGAAAACAAACACTCATTAATTTATAAAATTAAAAACTAGAATTTAAGACTTGGAATCATGCTAACAAGAAAATTCATAATATTAAAGAGTCAATATAAAATTAATCATAAAATTAAATATAAATTTAATATAAATTAAACTATATATACGATACAAATTAAAATGTAATATGAATTAACTATTTCAAAAAGGTAATGCCCAAAAATAAATAACTAAAAAATAAGCTTTTGTTTTTATTTTTATTTTGAGGTTAGCAGCTTAATTGAGATCACACTTGAACAAGAATCACTAAAATTCCTCTCTTAAATTTCAATTTCATTCTACTACATAGTAATTCTTTTATTTGTATTTGTGTTTGTTTACATATTTTGTACTCTTTTTACATAAATTATTTTTCTCATCAGGTTGTGGAACAAATTGTCCTAACGAGTAAACAAAATCTTGATTGTTGGGTGTTTTTCAACTAATACATTTACATACTATCACTTTATGATCCAGCCCTTGCCTACACATCCAACATTATCTTGTGCCTTCCCCTCTCTCAATCCAGTATCCAGGATTTCTCATCTTTTAATTTTTTGAATAAAGTCAAGTTCTTTGCAGCCTCAGCTGTTTCACACTCCCTTTCCCCTACTCTGAAAGGTTTTTTATCTTTCTTTTCATAAACACCTTCCTACACAAAACAGAGTTTTTTATCCCCTCCTATTTTTTTTTTTTAATCTAAATCCTTGGCTTCTTTTATTTCTTTGAACACAGTAATATATAAAATATACTTGTCATTTGCTTCTTTATTTGGTGTAATATATTATGTTCCCCACCCCGGTTCCCACTCTCCTATATTTTAATGAAAGCTCTGGAAAGGCAGGACTATATTTGTCTTTTTCAGTATTTTCTCCTAGCCTATTTAATAGGTGTTTGTTGACAGCCTAAATAAATCAGATTTAACTGGGCTGTCAACAGTGATAACCAAGTCTACCTCACCACTATAATAAACTCACTCTTCTACTCTCTGAAGTCTCTATTTTAAACCTTTTCTCGATGCCCAGTGCTCCTCCTTCTCCTACCCCCAAACACTGCTTATTCTCAGATGACCTTGCCTCATACTTCACAGAAAATAGAAACCATCACCTCCTGCTTCTTTCCAGCATTCAAGTTACAGAAGTCACTGTCCTTCTTTCCTCCTATTACAAAGTTGGAAGTAGCCCTGTTGTCACTGAAGCCTAGACCTCCAGAGGAGCTCTGGTTTCCTTTCCCTCCCACAGTCACAGGGACATATCTACCTGCTGTATTCAATCTCTGTCTGCTTCCCTCTCTACCACAGCCTTATCCTCAGTAGTCAGCATGTTCTCACAGCTACAATCTTAGCAAAAGGAAACAAATGAACAAACAAACAAAAACAGATAAAATTCTTTCCGTTAGTGTATAATTTCTTCTAGTCATGTTCTGAACTTTGTATTCCCTGTCACAGGCAAACTTCTTCAAACAGTTATGTCCATATGCTTCCTTTCTTAACGTTTTATTCCCTTCACATCTACGACAAGTTTACATCCTTAGTTTTTTTTCCCTCCTGATTCTCTAAATCCTCCTTTTTTCCATCTATATTGCCACCGATTCCTCTTCTTTTTAACCTTTTTATGTTGAAATGTTTCAGGGCTTAGTCCAACATTCTCTTCCTTTTCATTTTGTATATTATACTAATTAGATGACATAATTTATATGTTAATAATCCAAATGAATTTAGAGACAATCTCAGGAATAGATTTGACCCATTTAACATTAATGACCAAAGACCAGATGAACTGTGGAATGACATCAAGAACATCATGCATGAAGAAAGCAAGAGGTCATTAAAAAGACAGGAAAGAAAGAAAAGATTATCATAAACATCAAAAGAGACTCTGAAACTTGCTTTTGAACATAGACTAGCTAAAGCAAATGGCAGAAATGATGACGTAAAAGAACTGAACAGAAGATTTCAAAAAGCAGTTTGAGAAGACAAAGTAAAATATTATAACGAAATGTGCAAAGGCCTAGAGTTAGAAAACCCAAAGGGAAGAACATGCTCAGCATTTCTTAAGCTGAAAGAACTGAAGACAAAATTCAAGCCTCAACTTGCAATTTTGAAAGTATGTACTGGGAAAATATTAAATGACACAGGAAGCATCAAAAGAAGATGGGAATAATAGACAGTCAATCTACCAAAAAGGACTGGTTGATGTTTAACCATTTCAGGAGGTAGCATATGACCAAGAACCAATGGTACTGAAAGAAGAAGTCCAAGCTGCACTGAAGGCATTGGTGAAAAATAAGGCTCCAGGAATTGACAAAATACCAACTGATATGGTTCAACAAACGGATGCAGCACTGGAAGCGCTCACTCCTCTATGCAAAGAAATTTGAAGACAGCTACCTGGCTAACCAACTGGAAGACAGCCATATTTGTACCCATTCCAAAGAAAAATGATTCAACTAAATGCAGAAATTATTGAACCATATCATTAATATGACACACAAGTAAAATTTTGATGAAGATCGTTGAAAAGTAGTTGCAGCAGTACATTGGGAAGGAGCTGCCAGAAATCCAAGATGGATTCAGAAGAGAACATAGAACAAGGTAAATCATTACTGATGTTAGATGGATCCTGGCTGAAAGCAGAGAATACCAGAAAGATGTTTACTTGTGTTTTATTGAGTATGTAAAGGCATTGGACTGTGAAGATCATAACAAATTATGGATAACATTGCAAAGAATGGGAATTTCAGAACACTTAATTGTGCTCATGAGGAACTTGTACATAGACCAAGGGACAGTCATTGGAACAGAACAAGGGGATACTGCATGGTTTAAAGGCAGGAAAGATGTGCTTCAAGGTGGTATCCTTTCACCATATTTATTCAATCTATATGCTGAGCAAATAATCCGAGAAGCTGGACTATATGAAGAAGAATGCAGCATCAGGATTGGAGGCAACTCATTAATAACCTGCAATATGTAGATGACACAACCTTGCTTGCTGAAAATGAAGAGGACTTGAAGCACTTACTGAGGAAGATAAAGACTACAGCCTTCAGTATGGATTACTCCTCAATATAAAGAAAACAAAAATCCTCACAACTGGAACAATAAGCAAAATCATGATAAATGGAGAAAATATTGAAGTTGTAAAGGATTTAATTTTACTTGGATCCACAGTTACAGCCAATGGAAGCAGCAGTCAAGAAATCAAATGATATATTGCACTGGGCAAATCTGCTGCAAAAGACCTCTTTAAAGTGTTACAAAGCAAAGATGTCACTTTAAGAAATAAGGTGCACCTGACTCAAGCTATGATATTTTCAATCCCCTCATATGAATGCAAAAGCTGGACAATGAATAAGGAAGAACAAGGAAGAATTGATGCCTTTAAATTATGGTGTTGGCAAAAAATATTGAATATATCAAGGATCGCTAGAAGAATGAACAAATATGTCTTGGAAGAAGTACAGCCAGAATGCTGTACTTAGAAGCAAGGATGGCAAGATTTTGCCTCACATACTTGGACATATTATCAGGAGGGACATTCCCTGGAGAAGGATATCATGCTTGGTAAAGTAGATGGTCAGTGAAAAAGAGGAAGATGGTTAATGACATGGATTGACACAGTGGCTACAACAATGGGCTCAATCAAAACAATGATTGTGAGGATGGTGCAGGACTGAACAGTGTTTCATTCTTTTGTAACAGGATCACTATGAGTCAGAACAGACTTGATGGCACCTGTCAACAACAACAATCCAAATGTACATCTACTGGCTACACCTATATATCCAACTCTCCAGCTTCCATATCCAATTTGAATGACTATGAGTAGTTCAACCATAATGTATCCAAGCCAGAAGTTGTGGTGTTCATCCCAAAAGTAGTCTCTGTCCTGCCAACATCATTTTATAAAATGGCTGTAGTGCAATGAATCAATTTTATATGGCCCTTCTAGCCATGGTCTTGTAACTCCCACAAAATGATTGGGTGGGCCACAGTCTTACAAGTGATTGGTATATTATTGTTCAAATTGAGTGATCTACCTAGGAGGTTGGTTAGAACATGGTCCTGTTTGGAGGACCATGCCTTGAAATTGGCAAGGAGTTTCCATATATAAGGGCCAATCCCACAGAGGTTGAGAGAGTCCTCATTATCATCAAGAAGAGTCTTGAGCGGAGTACGTCCTTTGTACCTGGGATCTCTGTGCAGAGAACCTCTTAGACCCAGAGAAGAGAGCTGTAACAATGAAGAAGATGTGAGACAGCAAGTAACACTGACATGCACAGCAGGGTCAGGTGGCAGAGAAACAGCTACAGCAGTGTGAGTGATAGGATCTTCAAGACCAGCCGTGGCCTTTCTGGCCCATGGAGAGAGAGCTGAGCGCCTCCAAGCAGGAGGCTTGCTGAGAAATGAGGTGCCCAGGCACTTGTTGAAGGAGCTAAAAGAGCTATAACACTTGTCCCTGAATGTCCTGTGCCCTGTGCTAGGGTTGCACAACTCTCCCCCTTGGGCAGCAAAGCAGGATCCATGCAGGCCTTCCGGCGGGGTAGGCATGGAAAGCATGGCAGGATCCAGTTGTAGAGGCCTGGAAGGTTCCACCAGCAGAGGCTCAGGATATCCCGTGCAGGAGAATTCCTGTGAATGAGGTGAGGCTAAGTGAGGCCCAGCATAAGAGAGTAGAAGACTTGGGAGCCATGCAGGCCCCCAGAAGTGTGGTGGTAGCCAGAGGCAGCAGTGATGTGAAGACAGCATCTGACCTGAATAACATTGTGCCTGCCCAGCAACATAAGAATGGACATGGGTAATTTGGGGAAGGGTAAGCATTTCCCCTTTGAGAATCTGTTGTAATTGTTTACTGTTTGCTTCCTATAAATACTAATAATGACCTTCACTTTGCTAACACTGTTAAGTGTCTCATGTGTTCAGCTTGATCACAGATGAATGTAGCGTCCATGGAACCGCTGATGCCAGTGGTTGTATATACCTCATTCCTAGCAGTTTAATGGCTGCCTGGAAGTTTGAGGTACAGCCTGTCTGCATGTGCAATACAGACAGACAGACAGATAGGCATACAGTGGCATTACCATTTACCTACTTGTTATTGAAAAACAAAGCAAAACATATGAGTCCCTTGACCTAACATTTATAACATTGCCTCTCCTTTCTACCACCAAATATATCCCAAATTTATCCTCTGCTCTGCATCTCCTCAGCCATCACCTTATCTCAATCCCCACCATTTCTCATTCTACATGGACTCACTGCTTCCTGTTTTGACTATCTCATGCACAGCATCCAGGAACAAATAACAACAAAAAACTTTCACAAATGTAAGTCTATTTATATCATTGTTTTTGTTAAAACTCTTTTGTCTTTTCATCAAGCATAAAGTTTATCCAATGCTAATATGATCTGAAATAACCTGGATAATCTTGCCTTTGCCTCCTATCCAACCTCTGCTCATAAAATTATCTCACATCTTGACTAGACTCTTCTCATCCTGGCATTTCCCAAATAGTATTTTTCTTTTAGAAGTTTGCACATATTTTTTCCTTTGCTTGGAACTCTCTATATCCACTCATTTCTTACAGATTCCAGGTTAATTTCTATTCATAGAAAACAGACAACTGTTTGGTAAACATACAAGAGATTTTCAGAATAGTCCAGAGAACGTGTTGATGTCTGAAAATGAAGAGTTCCTGGTAGGAGCTGAAGAAATTAACACTCAAGGTGGGAAGGCAAAAGCAAAAACTCAGGAGTAAAATAGCTGAAGAGGTTGTGACTAACCATACTTTGGTAATGGGTGTCAAGTTTTAAATATTTTCAAGATTTGCATTTAGGATTACTTGAAAACAATTTATATTTTAATGACGTTTATCTGTAATGTATGTGGTCCATTGCTTTGATGCACTGTTTTAAATAGATTATTATCTTTGGGCTTCAAAACACCATCTCCTCCCAATTTGCATTAAATCAGAAGAAGACACATAGATTTTAAACATTGTTCCTTAACAATGTCTCTAGATAATTAAATTACCTCCCAAAAGGAACATATACAAATTTTAATATCCTAAAAAAATGAATACCAGGAAAAAAAAAAAAAGGACAGTACTTACCATAACACGTGGGTGTGTCAGACCAACCATCATCACCACATACTATAGAGCCTGTGGTGCTTCCACCTGTGTTTTCATAGCCAGCTCTGCATTCATAGTCCAGCTTGTCATTGAGCTTAAACCATGTGCCATCACTTTTTGGTCTGGCATTCTCAAAGAATGGCATATCACAAGATTCTAATGCAAAAAAAAAAAAAAAAAGATTCTAATGCATGATAAAATTGAGGATTTCATTTCATGTTATTGAGTGGGCAAGTTAAGTAAATCCCTTCCCAGAAACAAGACTCCTTTATCTGACGTAATCTCTTCCATAATAAGCCTTGTAATAGATATTTGATTCCAATGCAGTATAAAATGTGTTGATATGAGAGTAACTTTTGTCATTTTTCCTTTAGCCAGAGCCCATAGTCAACATAAAAATTGAAAAACAAATTAAAAAAATAATTACACAGTAGGAAAGATATCTTTTACTTCAAAAATATCACTGAGGAGTTTTGGGAAAATAAAGTGTGTATAAAGGCAAAACAAGCAAATTGTTCTTAGAGGATCTTTATAAACATCCAGATAGTGGGGCAGGAAAACTTTCAACACAATAGAGTTTAGCACAATCAAGAAATGTTTCTCTTCATTACCTAGAAGTTAATGAAGATCTTCCAAAAGGACAGCAGGAATTTTCATAAGTGGACATCTCCTATGGCATTAATTGCATAAATTATAAAGGTCAAATTCTTGGGGAATTCTGCACTATGGACTCATCTCTTCACTTAAAAACATGACATTTGTGTCTAGGAGCAAGGACTCCAATACAAAATGCTAGTCACCTAAACACAGGCACAACAGACAGGAAGATTTCAGATGAAAACGAGCAAGTCTACAGGAAAATATTCATGAGACTCCGTCACAGATTTCTAAATCACGGGGTTGCTTTAAAGTGGGAAAAACTTGAAAAGATGGAATGATCCTCCTTCCTATCAGTAATTACTCTAAAAAGGCAAAAGAGACTTAACTAAAGAACTATATACGTACATGTATATGTATATGATTTCCACATTATATATATGATTTCTACATTATGTATATGACTTCTACATTATGTATATGATTTCTTTATTATATATGATTTATACATTATATATGATTTCCACATTATATACATGATTTGTATATTACGTATATGATTTCTATGTTATATATATGATTTCTACATTATATATAGAAATTCTACATTATATATATATATATATATAATTTCTCAAAGAGTTTATTTATCCTTACAAATGGAAACATTTTGGCCCCACCCCACACTCCCACCCTCTATAAAAGAGAATTAATTACAGTAAACGTTTGTAAAACTATCATCGGGAGAATAAGCCTAATAAATTACTTACTAATGCATATGGGTTGAGTAGACCATCCACTTTCCAAGCACGTGATAGATTCTGATATTTTACCCTCTGCTGTTACATATCCTGGTTTACACGTATATTGTGTTTGATAATTTATAGGATACATATACTTAGATTCAGAAATAAATCCATTCTGAATTTTTATATCTGATTTTGAACATGCTTCTAGATGAAGAAGGCATAAGGAAAAGATAAGCATATGTTTAATAAATATTTTTTATTCAGAATCGAATAATATGGCAACATAATAAAATAATAAGTCATTTGTAAATGAACATCTGAAGTAACTGTAATAATCCAAGTTCTTGTGTCAGAGAAAATAAGCTGTTTCCTAAGATATTAAGTCAAGATGCATTATTAAAGATTTTTTTTAAACAAGGAAAGATTTAAAACAAGCACCAAGAAAGAATCAGTTGTTTAAAGAGCTTTACCATGTTGTAGGATTCCAGGTCCATTAGACAATTAGATTTTTATAATTTCTTAAATGAATTATGAGTGCTGTGCCATTAATAGATTGATAATTGCCATAGTGTCAACTCTGACAGAATGAAACGTTGTCTAGTGTTGCATCATCCTCATGATACCAACATCTTCAAGTCAATCCTTGCAAATATTTTACCAATCCTTCTCACCAAGAATCTCCCTCATACTTGCTATCCCTTTTTCACCAAACATGACGTCCTCCTCTAGTGACCGATCCCTCCTGATGATGTGCCCAAAGCAAGTGATTTAGACAATGTTCTGTTGTGATCCATAAGGTTTTCATTGGCTAATTTTCAGAAGTAGATGACCAGGCCTTTGTTCCTAGTCTTTCTTAGTCTGGAAGATTTGCTGAGACCTGCCCATCATAAGTGAGCCTGCTGGTATTTGAAATACCAGTGGCATAGCTTTCAGCATCATAGTAAAATGCAAGTGAACACAGGAAGTGGTACTTTGGAAGAAATTTGTCACACTAAATACCTGTATTAGAAAAGAAAAAGTGCTCCACATCAATGACTTCAAGTTACACATTAAGCATTAGAAAAAGTAGGATATTAAACCCAAAGAAAACAGAAGGAAAAAAAAGAAAGATCAGAGCAAAAATAAACAAAGTAAAAAAAAAAAAAAAAAAAAGAGGCAATTAATGGAACAAAAATCTTAAATGAATATAATTGCAAACCTTTAAACAGACCAATCAGGAGAAAAAAAAGAGAGAATACACAAATTACTAATATCAACAGAAATTAAAAGGATAATAAAGGGACATCATGAACAATATTATGTCAGTAAACTCAAGAACTTAGAGACTTGTCAGATTTCTTAGGGCAACAACCTACCAAAGCTCAATCAAGAAAGGACAGATAACATGGATATACTTATATGTATTAAATAAGTTGAATTTGTAGATTAAAAAAAAAAAAACTTTCCCCAAAAGAAAAGTCCAAGTACAAATGGCTTCATTAGTGAATTCTACCAAACTCTTAAGGGAGAAAAAAATTATAATTCTACACAGATTGTCCATAAAATTGAAGAGAGAGGAAACATTTGCATTTTCATCATATGAGGCTAGCATTATCCTGTTACCAAAACCAAAGAAAGACATTACAAATACTTAAAAACTGCAGACCAGTATCCCTCATGAACAAAGATGCAAAGCTTCATAACAAAATTTTAACAATTGCATCCAAAATTCTATAAAAAGGATAATCTATTAAGATCAAATGAGTTTTCAAAGGATACAAGAATGGCTTATCATTAGAAAAGCTATCAGTGTAATTCATCATTCTAAGAAGCTAAAAAAAAAGAAAAATAGACATCTCAATGGTGAAACACTGAATGTGTCTACCCTAAGATCAGAACAATACATGGATGTTTACTATCATCACATCTATTCAATATTTCACTGGAGGTTCTGGTCAGTAAAACAACCCAGGAAGAAGAAATAAAGAGCATCTGGATTGGAATACAAGTAAAAATGTCTTTATTTGCAGTTGCCATGATATCTTTATAGACAATCCAAAGGATTACTAGAATTAAGAGGTGAGTTTAGCAAGGTTATGAGATATTATGAGATCAATAAACACAAGAAAATCAATTTATTCTTATGAACTGTCGTAAATTAAAATTCAAAAAAATATTGTGCCCACTGGCATAAAAACATGAAATATTTAGGAATAAATCTAATAAAATGTGTGCAAGATCTGTGCATCAAAAACTAGAAATTATTGCTGAGAAATATTAAAGAATACTTAATAAATGAATGGATGTAATGTGTTCATGAGTCAGAAGACTCAATACAGTTAATTCAGTTTTCCCAATCAATACTGATCTACAGATTCAATGCAATTCTCATAAAAATCCTAGAATTTTTTTTTTAGTAATTGTCACAATTGTTCAAAAAGTCATATAGAAATGAAAAAGACTTCTAACAGATTTTTGAAAGAAATTAACAAAGTTGGAGAGTTAACACTACCCAATGTCAAGATATTAAAAACTTAGCTAGTCAAGCCAGTGTAGAGTTTGTGTCAAGTTAGAGAAAAGATCATTGGAACAGAACAGAGAGTCCCAAAGTAGACCCAAACATCTATGGATAACTGATATTTTACAAGTATGCTAAGGCAATTTAGTGGAGAAAAAATTTTTTTTAACAATAGGTGCTGCAACTATGGAATATTAAAATGCACATAAGTAAAGTTTGCTCTATGCCTCTCATCATATAAAAAAATGAACTCAATATAGAACACAGACCTAAATGTAGACTGTAAAATTTCTAGAAGGAATTATAAAGTAAAATCTTACAATCTTAAGTTAGGGAAAGATTTCTTACATATGACATCAAATAAAAAAGAAACCTTGTGGAAAAAAATCCTACTCTTATTCAACTTTGCACTGGAAGATCTAGCTAATGCAACAAGGCAAGAAAGAAGGAATAAAATACATAGACAGTGATTGGAAAGGAAGAAATGAAACTCTATCAAAGATGGTATGATTGTCTACACAGAAACCACAAAGATCCTACAAAAAAAGCTCCAAGAACTAACATATCGGTTTAATAAGGTCTTGAAATATAAGGCCAATATACAATATTTGATCATATTTTTGTATACTCACAATAAACAAATGGAAAACTAAATTAAAAAACAGTGCTATTTACAATAGTGTCAAAAAACATGAAATACTTAAGAATAAATATAACAAAATATGTGCAACAAATACTGATGTAAGAAACTTTTAAAAGATCTAAATAAATGAAAAAATATACCATCTTAATAGACTGGAAACTCAACATTGTTATGATGTCAACTGACACCAAATTTATTTTTAAATTTATTGTAATTCCAACCAAAATCTTTACAAAAATTTAGTAGATATTAATAAGCTGATTCTAAAATTCCCATAGAAAGTCAAAGGAACCAGAAAATCCAAAACAATTTTTTAGAAGTACAAAGTTGGAGGACTCACACTACCTAAGTTTCTTAAGACTTACTAAAAATGATAGTAATTTAAACAGTATGTTGTATCGGTGAAAGAATAAACACATAGAGGAATGGAACAGAATAGAGAGTCCAGTTGTGGGCCCACACATATATGGTAATTGATATTTGATAAAGAAGCAAAGGCAATTCAATGGAGAAAGAATAGTCTTTTCAACAAATGGTACTATAACAATCAGGTATCAAAATGAAAAATAATGAATATTGCCATATTCCTCACATTTTATACAAAAATTAACTTAAAATTGATCACATAACTAAATTTAAAACATAATACTATAAAATTTCTACAAGAGCACATGCTCTTGGTTTAGACACTTTTTAGATATGTATAATATAATGCATAAAGGAAAAAATTGATAAATTGGAATCAAAATTAAGCATATCTTTACGAAAAACACTAGAAAAAGAATGAAAACTTAAGGCACAGATGGGGCAGTGGCACATGCAAAACACATATCTGACAAAGCACTATTGTCTAGAATAAATTACAAACTCTCTAAAATTCAATAATCATAAAAATATCAATAAAAAAATGGATGAAAGATTTGGCCAACTTCACCAAAGAAGACACACGGATGGCAAATAAGCACAGAAAAAGTGTTTAACAGCATTAGTCATTAGGGAATGAGATACTAACACATACATATTAGAACGGTAAAAAAAAAAATAAAGACCAAAAATAAAAACAAAGTAAAACAAAAACTTCACCATATCAAATATTAGCAAAGCTGTGGAGCAACTGGAACACTCATCCATTAAGGGTAGAGGATGCTGTGAATACAAATGGTCACTATGAAGGAAGTTTTTGTGGTGATAAGATTGTTCTTTTTACAGAATATTTATCCTGATGACTTATCTATATGTCAAATCTTATAGAACTGTACACTAAAATATAAAAAGATGTTAATGCATATAATTAAAAAATTATACCTGGTTATCACCAAAAAATTTCAAATTTAAGGATATTAGATGCAGGTATATTAATATCTCCAATTTCATTGTTTAATAGTCCATTATGGCTAGTGAGAGATAACGAGGGATCCTGAAAACTAACTGTAGATTCTAGAGAACTGAGAAAAGTAGATACTTTCAGAAGCATCTGTCAAAATGCTGTTAACTTTTAAGCTGCAAAACAAGCTAAGAGGAATTGGTATTCTGTCACCAATTTGCTAATGTTTCCTTTTCAATACCTATTTTAAAGGCAACCAAAGTCAATTTGTATTCATGTAGGACAAACTATGATACATGTTTATGTTCTCCCACAAGTATATTTGAATTCTTCCACTTATTGCTTCAACGTGTTTATAATACATTTAGATTAGTTTCAGTTGAAAAGCACTGTTCTTCCTTATCTTGATGATACACTGTTGCTATCTCAGTCTGAAGATCAACCTAAAGGTTTTTTTATTAGCTAGCCACCATAAAAAAAAAAAAAAAACAGCTGATGTTGAATATACTCCAACTCATGAATACTGCATGTGTTTCAGAGTATAACTGTGCTCCATAAGATTTTCCATTTTTTGGAAGCAGATCACCAAGCCTTTCTTCCAAGGCACCTCTAGGTGGATTTGAACCACCAACCTTTCAGTTGGTAGCTAAGCACTTAACCATTTGTGCCACCAAGCACTTAACCATTTGTGCCACCTAGGGACTCTTATGTAACAACCACAAAGTCCTAAATAACCTAAC